AAAAAAAAAAAAAGTCACAGAGACAAGGAGAAGACCATGTGATGATGAGACAGACTGTGATGCCTCTGTGTGAACCAAGAAGCTAGCAAACAGAAACTGAGAGTCAAGGAAGATGGATCAGTCAGCTCTTTATTACTTTAACAAAAACACCTGAGATGAGCGAACTTAAAAAGAGAAAGGATGACTTTGGCTTAGTTTTGAAGATCACAGTCCAAGGTTGTGTGTCCTTAGGGTAAAGGTATTTGGTAAAGAGAATGGTGGAGGGATAATGACCTGGCAAGCCAGGGAGCAGAGCAGCTGGGCCTGTCTCAGGTCTATGAAAGGATCTTGTTGGGCCAGCATTGTGTCATAGCGTGTAAAGTCACTGCCTGTGATGTTGGCATCCTATATGGGCACTGGCTTGAGTCCCAGCTACTCCAGTTCCAATCCAGCTCCTTGCTAATGGCCTGGGAAAGCAGCAGAGGATGGCCCAAGTCTTTGGGCCTCTGCACCGACGTGGGAGACCTAGAAGAGACTTCTGGCTAACTGTTGTAGCCATCTAGAGAGTGAACCAGAGGATGGGAGATCTAGCTGGGTCCTCTCCCTCTCTGTAACTCTACCTTTCAAATAAGTAAATAAATAGACCTTAAAAAAAAGGAGAAGGGAGGGAGGAAGGAAGGCAGGAAGGAAGGAAGAAAGGAAGGAAGATGAAGGAAGCCCTCTCAAGAGAAAGCACACTCACAGTGACTAAAGAACTCCCACTAGGTCCATCTCCTAAACTCTATAATTGGATCAAGTCTCCACCCTTAATCCATTGACCATTAACAAGACTTTGAGGACTAAACCCTTCATATATGGATATTTGGGGGACACCCAAACTGTTTCCCAAACCATAACAGAAGCAATCTCCTGTAGGTGTCATGGGGGATTTGGCCCCGCCAGCACCTTGATTTCAGTCTTCTGTTGTGCTAAGCCATCCAAGTTTGTAGGAATTTGTTACGGTACCCTTAGGAAAATAACAAGTGTTAGGAAATAATCAAGATTCTTTGCCTCAGATGAAAAAGTGAATAGGGAGCATATAGATCAGTGCCATCTCAATGACCTTTTCTCTTTGATTTTAGCTAAGTAATTTAGGCCATCTTTACAGTGCCTGTCAGGAATTTCTTAATTGCTTTCCAATTGCGCTGGCGCTGCGGCTCACTAGGCTAATTCTCTACCTTGCGGCGCCGGCACACCAGGTTCTAGTCCCGGTTGGGGCGCCGGATTCTGTCCCGGTTGCCCCTCTTCCAGGCCAGCTCTCTGCTGTGGCCCAGAGGTGCAGTGGAGGGTGGCCCAAGAACTTGGGCCCTGCACCCCATGGGAGACCAGGATAAGCACCTGGCTCCTGCCATCGGATCAGCGCGGTGCACCGGCCGCAGCGCGCCGGCCGTGGCGGCCATTGGAGGGTGAACCAACGGCAAAAAGGAAGACCTTTCTCTCTCTCTCACTGTCCACTCTGCCTGTCAAAAATAATAAAAATTTTTAAAAAATTAAAAAAAAAAAAAAAACATAATTGCTTTCCAATTGGTGTTCCTACAATTTCTTTTGTTTCACTTTATATACATATTTATCAAAAGATACATAGTTTATAGCCTAAAATTGGGTGTTAAGAAAAACTTAGCTGTTTCTACCATTCTGTGGAGTCTAGAAAGTTGTTTTTTTTTTTTTTTTTTTTCAGAAGACTTATTTATTTGGAAGGGTTATACAGAGACAGAGAGAGCTATTGAGAGAACATCTTCCTTCTGCTGGTTCATTCCCCAAATCCCCACAATGGCCAGGCTGAAACCAGGAGCCAAGAACTCCATCTAGGTCTCTCACGTAGGTGGCAGGAACCCAAGTACTTCCGTCATCATCTGCTGGCTTTCCAGGCACATTATCAGGAAGCTGGGTGGAAAGCAGAGCCAAGACTCAATCCCGGGCACCCCAATATGAGATGCTGGCATCCCCAGTGGAGCTTCATCTGCCCCATAATGCCTGCTCCTAGGAGATCAGTCTTTGAGAACTGCTTTTAGATCTAGATCACTTAAGCTCTGAAAGTGTAATTAACATTGCCAGACGAGGACCCTTACAGTATGTATGCAAGACTACTGGAGGTCATCTGAGATAAGCTGAATTATCTCTGACCACAGATTCCTTTTTTTTTTTTTTTTCCCAATCAGACCAAGAAAAATGTCAAGGATGCACTCAAGGGCAGAGTTATAAACAATGTGACTAACAGCCAGGGAACTATTGCCCGAGCCTGACAGTTTTCTCCAGCAAAGATCTAATGTTAAAATTCCGGGGATTCGGGAGAAGCCACTTGCCCTAGACTGAACTGGCAGGCCAAGGGCATGTGCTCCCTGGGGAAAATGCCTCATCAAGTTGAGCAAAAGGATGCCATCAGCACGGAAAACCACCTATCCTACAGAAGAGAGTGGCTAAAAATTCCCTTTTACCCAAGAGCCGTGTGTAAGGCCGCCACAAAACACACCAGACACCGGAGTAAGGGAAAGGGTTTATTGGGGAAAACCCAGCAGACTGGAGGGAAGGGGCAAAGAAGGAAAAAGAGGGAAAAGGAGAGCATAAGAGAGAGACAGAGACAGAGAGGTCAGGAGATGGGGTGGGAGGGGAGAGTGAGAGAGGAGAGGGAGAGAGCGCAGAGAGTGAGAGTGAGCAAGAGAGAGCCACGTGTTCAGGAACAGGTCCTTTTAAAACTTTGCCGGAGGGTGGGCAGGGAAGCAGGAGCAGCGAATCCCATTAGGGTGGGGGGTGGAGCTTGACAAAGGCAGTTGGGCCATGTGGCCACCTGGCTTCCAGCCTAGGAGGGTGTCAGGGTGTAGATCGTGCCATAGATAAAACTGCACCATTTTCCTAACACCATGGGCTTTAACCAAGAAAATAATCTGGGCAAATGATGCTGTTCATCTCATAGCTCTTTCATGTCCTACCTGGGATTACCACCTCCAAGTGGAGAGGACACCATAAGCTCCCTGCTGGACCTTGCCAACTGAGAAGTGACAGTGGAGTATAGTGAATCCATCAGGAGCCCCCACTGCAGAGCAGCAGAGCGTGGCAGCCAGCCTGGAGTTCCAGCTTAATCCGAAGTAAGAGTGCACGGCTGCCTCCTGCCATTACCTGAGCCCATTTACACCTCATGTGCTTGAGAGCTCCAGTCAACCCTATGAATAAAGCAATTCCCCACATGGTACTCAGACTAGTATACGATTCCCAAACCCCCTCTTTTAACCATGGTACTACACTGCCTCAGTTTTTTTCATATGTAAAATAGGAATAATCAATATTATCCCTACCTTCTCCTTAGGGTTGTTTAATAAATGAGACAGTGCTTTGGGAAAGTTTTTAAAGCACCTTGTATGTGTATGTTCTTTTTTTAATTTAAAAAAAGGTGGAGGGGACTTGTTTACTTGAAAGGCAGAATGACTCACAGAGAGGGATCTTTCATCTGTTGATGTACTCCCCAAATGGCCACAACAGCTAGGGCTGGGCCAGGCTGAAACCCAGAGCCTGGACCTCCATCAAGACCTTCCTCGTGGGTGGCAGGGGTCCAAGTATATAGGACATTCTTCTCTGCTTTTCCAGGCAGAAGAGCAGGGAGCTGGATCCAAAGCAGAGCAGCTAGGACTCAAACTGGACTCCAATATAGGATGTCGGTGTTTATTTATTTATTTTTTTTTGCCTTGTTTGAACTAATTTGATTTTAGCTGAAAGCTTTATTAGATTCCATTTCTTTTTGATATCTGGTCTACTTGAGTCATCAATACTTCCTCTCAGGGTGTGCTTTAGCAGGAAGCTGGATGGGAATTAGAGGAACTAGAACTGGCACCAAGCACTCCACTATGGGATGCAGGTATATGCAGGTATTGCAGGTGACACCTTAACTGCAGTCACAATTCCCACCCTGGGGTTCAAAATTTTTGCACCAAAGTAGATCTTTTAATTCCATTTTTCCAGGAACTTTTTAAAGCACCCTCATATTGTGCCTACTATATGCCAAGAGAACTTGGAGCTAAAAGTATTATATTCATGTCTTTCTTTTCTTTTTTTTTTTAATTCATGACCATCTGAAGTCCTTGGGCATTCCTCCCCCACTACTTGGTGACATAATTTGCTAAAAGGAATAAGTGCCACCTCTTTAGAGGGTTAGAGGGAGAATTAGAAGAGATAATAGATGTGAAAATGGTTTATGAGCTGTCAAGTGCTAAATACACAAGCAGATGATTGTAGTAGGAAATGGTCCCTTCCAAAACTTAATAACCACTTAGAAAATGCTATAAGCATAAATTGTTGGTTTTCATATTCAAACCTGGACGACTTCTTGTAGCCAAGATGAGTCAATTAATTGAACTGAATCATTTGCTGTTTTTAGTTGATGGGGAAGTACTAATTTCACAAGCCATAAAGTAACAGCATTTGAGGGTTTATATTTAAAGTTGTTGTGACGGTGGACTGCCTAGGAATTCAACCACTGCCTGGGAGTGTTTTGTGTTTTTGCATTTTTAAAAAAATATTTATTTATTTATTTGAAAGCCAGAGTTACGCACTGAGAGGAAGAGAGAGAAAGAGAGAGAGAGAGAGAGAGAGTCCCTTCCATCTGCTGGTTCACTCCCCAAATGGCTGCAAAGACCAGGGCTGGGCCAGACCAAAGCTAGGAGCCAGGTGCAGGAGTACTAGTATTTGGGCCATCCTTGCTGATGGAGCTGGATCGTAAGTGGAGCATCTGGGACTGAAATCGGGGCCCATGTGGGCTGCCCGTGTGGCAGGCCACAGCGGCTTTACCCGCCTGGGAGTTTTCTTAGTGCATCCAGTGTAGTAACGGAAGGCCAAGGCCACCCTTGCCCTCACAGCATCTGTCAGAGACTTCCCGCTGTCCTTCCCTCTCCTAAGAAAGGGAGTGCAATGAGATAAAGTGGGTTCCGATAAAATCGAGCACGACGTGGACCTTGTGCTTGTCGAAATCCTGATGTCAGTTCCACTACCTCTCCCGCCTGCTGTGGCGTGTTACACTCAGCGGAACAAAACAGGCCGGGGGCAGGTGAGGGCCATTTCTAGAATTCCTTCCTCACCTCCCTCCCGGGCCCTCGAATGCCCGGGAAGCAACAGAGCTGGAGAGGGACCCGGCAGGATGCTGCAGACCTCAACCCCTTACCCCACATCCGGGGGCCACCGGGGCGGGGCGGGCGAGGGTCGGCCCCCTCTCCGGGGCGGAGCGGGGCGCCGCCCACTCCCCGCCTCCCTGTGCCTGGGCCACGAGCGCCGGGCTGGGAGGCAGCAGCGAAGCGAACGGCCGCGCCATGTACCTCCGCAGGGCGGTCTCCAAGACCCTGGCGCTGCCTCTGAGGGCGCCCCCAAGCCCCGCGCCGCTCGGGAAGGACGGTGAGTGGGGGTGCCTGTCCCGCGGTTCAGGCTGGGGGCCGCTGCACCTGCTGGCAGCCGGAGCTTGCGGTGGGATGGAAGAGGGTCTCGGGGAGGGCGCCCAGAAGCTCGGAGTGGAGGCGGGTGTCTTTGAAGGTGGGGAAGCCTTTCCAGCGTGCCTTCTGAAGTCCAGACTAACCTTCCCGGGTTTAACCCTTTTCCTCATCTAGGGGACAAGGCTAGTTATGAGTTTTACTAAGTTCGTGTGTGGTTAAAAAGCAGCACTTAGCAAAAAAGCGTCCGGCTGACTTACTCGAAACTTACTACTCTGATGACCCTAGGGACCAATTCTTGGTCCCACAGCACGTGAGGAGAGGGTAGACACTGACCAGCGAGACCAGCGGGGCGCGCGCAGGGAGTGAGCGCAGTGAATGTTCGTGGAGTCAATGAAATTTAGGTTCTGCCTGGCCAAGGGCTGCCTTGAACCCCGAGAGCTCCTGGGCCCCTGAGCATCCCCCGGACAGGGAGCGAGCTTCGAGGCATCTGCCTTAAGAGTGGCCGCGGCCATCCGACTGTTTGGGTCGACCAAGGCCCCTATCAGCTTCGGATGGGGTGACTGGCACGGGAAAGTCAACAGATTCAGAAATTCGCTGACGGGGAGGTTGCTGTGAGAGATGGAATCTTCTTAAATGGACAATCGGGACAGCGCCTAGCCTGGTGCCTGGGAAGTGGCAAGGGTGAGCACCGAGCCCGTTCTCTCCCCCGCCCCACCCCGAGCCCGGGGGCAGCTTTGCGCGCGGGTCTCTCTTTCTCCAGCCCCGACGGGAGCACGGCTCGTGCACAGCCTCGCGGAAAGTGCATTCTCGGTCCGCGTCGGCCGGCTTCTGAGGCTGCTCCAATGGCCGGAGTTGCCCGCTGCCATCTGGGTGGCGGTGGCAGGCCAGTTCCACCTGCTTTACCGTTCTTTTACAATACTGGTGGGAGACAGTCGCCCCTAGAGGTGACACACACAGTCGTCCTCGCTGCCCTTCATCTTCCGGCCCGAGAAACAAGAGCAATGCTTCGTTCACTGATAAGAGGGAGAAAACAGTTATTTCAGACTTCAGAAGATAACCCGGCCGTTCGGATGTGCGTGGGGCGGGGAGAAAGCGACTGTGGCCTTTCGCGCCCTCTGTGCCCTCTGTCCGCATCCCCTGTCCCTGCTACTCACTAGCTACTCACTAGCACACACACACACACACACATTTTTTTTTGGTAGCTGCACAAATTTCAGATAATTCCCTCCCCTCAAATAAAAGTGGCTTACAAATTCTAAGTTCAGCATTAGCAATACTATATCCTTACCAGTCTTTCTCCAATTGTCATCAATTTTTGTAGCACTGATTTACGGGTTTTAGGAGCTATTATTGATGGAAAGAATTTTGCCTTTAGCCGTGAACATGAATTAGGCTTTTATGGGCACACTCTACTTTGATGAAAATATAAAAATATTTCAGTTTTATCGAAAGATGAATTTTTAACTATCTCATCAAACTTTGTCCTCACCTCTTTGCTTTTAAAAATATATCTTTTAGGCCGGCGCCGCGGCTCACTAGGCTAATCCTCCGCATGTGGCGCCGGCACACCGGGTTCTAGTCCCAGTCGGGGCGCCGGATTCTGTCCCGGTTGCCCCTCTTCCAGGCCAGCGCTCTGCTGTGGCCCGGGAGTGCAGAGGAGGATGGCCCAAGTGCTTGGGCCCTGCACCCCATGGGAGACCAGGAGAAGCACCTGGCTTCTGGCTTCGGATCAGGGCGGTGCGCCGGCCGTAGCGCGCCAGTGGCGGCGGCCATTGGAGGGTGAACCAAAGGCAAAGGAAGACCTTTCTGTTTCTCTCTCTCACTGTCCACTCTGCCTATTTTAAAAAAATATCTTTTAAGTGAACTAATAATTTAGGCTTATAACAGGTCATTGGGGGAAAAACCAGAAAATCAAGTCACCTGTTCATCCTACCGATCAGCAAACGGTGAACACCACTAGTAAATTTTAGGACAGTTTGCTGAGCCTTTCCCCTGCATACATTTGTTCTCCTCATGCACATCGCTTCTACGATAATCCATGATAGAGAGTATTTTTCTATGGCTTTTCACTTTATATATTGTAAATATTTTCTCATGTAAATAAATATCATTCTCAAAATATACAGAATCTATGTTTCCCATTGAACCAATATGATGAAATTTGCCTGATTAATTCATCCTCATTGAATACATCCTATTTCTTTGTGTCTTAAATAACTTGGCCATCATTTTATTGTCTACTTAAATGCCTGGTATTTTTGTTCCTCCCTATTTAAAAAACTGTTTTTGATATTTCTGTCAACTTGAACTATAAGAAAGCTGGACTATTCCTATTTTTTTTTTTTTTGACAGGCAGAGTGGACAGTGAGAGAGAGAGAGACAGAGAGGAAGGTCTTCCTTTGCCGTTGGTTCAACCCTCCAATGGCCGCCGTGGCTGGCATGCTGCAGCCGGCGCACCACGCTGATCCGACGGCAGGAGCCAGGTGATTCTCCTGGTCTCCCATGGGGTGCAGGGCCCAAGTACTTGGGCCATCCTCCACTGCACTCCCTGGCCACAGCAGAGAGCTGGCCTGGAAGAGGGGCAACCGGGACAGAATCCGGTGCCCCGACTGGGACTAGAACCCGGTGTGCCGGCGCAGCAAGGCAGAGGATTAGCTTAGTGAGCCGCGGCGCCGGCCTTATTTGTTCATTGATGTACTTTTTTAATAAAAATTTATTTGAAAGTCAGAGTTACACAGAGAGAGGAGAGGCAGAGAGAGAGAGAGGTCTCCCATCCGATAGTTCACTCCCTAATTGGCCCCAACGGCCGGAGCTTCACTGATTCAAAGCCGGGAGCCAGGAGCTTCCTCTGGGTCTCCCACAAGGATGCAGGGGCCCAAGGGCCTGGGCCATCTTCCACTGCTTTCCCAGGCCACAGCAGAGAGCTGGATCAGAAATAGAACAGCTGGGTCTCAAATCAGAGCCCAAATGGGATGCTGGCGCTTCAGGCCAGGACGTTAACCTGCTGCGCCACAGCGCCGACCCGGGTGTACTTTTAAAGTACAATAGTTTTTAAAGATTTATTTATTTGTTTAAAAGACAGAGTTGGATAGTGAGAGAGAGAGAGAGAGAGAGAGAAAGGTCTTCCTTTTGCCGTTGGTTCACCCTCCAGTGGCCGCTGCGGCCGGCGCATCGCACTGATCCGAAGCCAGGAGCCAGGTGCTTTTCCAGGTCTCCCATGTGGGTGCAGGGCCCAAGCACTTGGGCCATCCTCCACTGCACTCCGGGCCATAGCAGAGCACTGGCCTGGAAGAGGGGCAACCGGGACAGAATCCAGCGCCCCGACCGGGACTAGAACCCGGTGTGCTGGCGCCACAAGGCGGAGGATTAGCCTATTGAGCCACGGCGCCGGCCACAACACCAATCCTTCACAGATGTATTTTTTAAGCTATATATCTTTTTAAAATTTTTATCTTATTTTTATTTTTTTGCCATATAAATATTTATTTGAAAGTCAGAGTTACACACAGAAAGAAGGGGAGGCAGAAAAAGAGAGAGAGAGAGAGAGAGAGAGAGAGGTCTTCCATCTGCTGGTTCACTCTCCAATTGGCCACAATGGCCAGAGCTGTGCCTATCTGAAGCCAGGAGCCAGGAGCTTCTTCTGGGTCTCCCAGGCAGATGAAGGGGCTCAAGGACTGGGGCCATCCTCCACTGCTTTCCCAGGCCACAGCAGAGAGCTGGATGGGAAGTGGAGCAGCCGGGACTCGAACCAGTGCCCATATTGGATGCCTATGCTGCAAGGTGGCAGCTTCACCCCCTACACCACAGCACCAACCCCTCACAGATGTATTTTTTTTTAAAGATTTTGTTTATTTATTTGAGAGGTAGAGTTAAATACAGTGAAAGGGAGAGACAGAGAAAGGTCTTCCTTCTGTTGGTTTACTCCCCAGATGGCCGCAATGGCCGGAGCTGTGCCGATCCGAAGCCAGGAGCCAGGTGCTTCTTCCTGGTTTCCCATGTGGGTGCAGGGACCCAAGCACTTGGGCCATCTTCTACTGCTTTCCCAGGCCATAGCAGGGAGCTGGATTGGAAGAGGGGCAGCGAGGACTAGAACCGGTGCCCATATGGGATGCACCGGAGGAGGATTAACCTCCTGCACCACAGAGCCGGCCCCGCAGATGTATTTTTAAACAAACAAATCCCACCACAAATAAAAATCATCTCTTATCATAGCCTGTGGGGGTACATTTGTGGGAAAAGAACTTTTTTTTCCACGAGATGGCCATTTATATTCAAAATAAGAAGAACATAAAGAGGAAATCATAATTGTGCTACTTATGGTTTGCAGTAGGGCAGATGTTTCCAGATTTGCCCTGAACAAGTCAGAATCTCTCAGCAGACCCTGCAGCTAGGCTGTCTCTGTCAGACCACATCAAATGACTTTGCACTGCCCCATCAGAATGCCCACGCGCCTCCTGCTTCCAGTGCCATTTCTCCTTCTAGTTAGCGAACAAACTCCTGCTTTCCTTTGAAACTCAGGTCATGGCTCTTCAGTTGTGAGAACCACTTTGAGCCAATTAACTGAGGTGTTTTTTTTTTTTTTAAGATTTATTTTATTTATTTGAAAGACAGAGTTACAGAGAGGTAGAGACACAGAGAGAGAGAGGTCTTCCATCAACTATTCAGTACCCAGATGGCCGCAACAGCTGGAGCTGTGCCGATCTGAAGCCAGGAGCCAGGAGATTCTTCCAGGTCTTCCCATGGGTGCAGGGGCCCAAGGAATTGGGCCATCTTCTGCTGCTTTCCCAGGCCATAGCAGAGAGCTGGATCGGAAGTGGAGCAGCCGGGACTAGAACCGGTGCCCATATGGGATGTCGGCGCTTCAGGCCAGGGCTTTAACCCACTGCGCCACAGCGCTGGCCCCTTCTTTTTTCTATTTTTCTTTTTAATATTTATTTATTTGAAAGGCAGAGTTAGAGAGAGAGAGAAAGCAAGATCTTCCATCTGCTGGTTGAAATGGCCAGAGCTGGACCGGGCCGAAGCAAGAATCCAGGAACTTCTGGGTCTCCCAAGTGAGTGACAGGCCATCTTTTGCTGCCTTCCAGGGGTATTAGCAGGGAACTGGATCAGATGTGGGGCAGCCAGCAGCCAGCAGCCAGGACTCAAACCGGTGCCCAGTGTGTTATGCCAGTGCTGCAGGCAGTGACTTAACCCACTGTGCCACAGTGCTGGCCTCACGTTTTTTCTTTGCATCATCTGCTAACATGTATTACAGCACTTGTCTTATTATCTCAAAATTATTTGTCTGCAGTTATTTGTCTGGATGTATGTCCCCTCCATCTAGATTGTGAGCTACTTGAGGCGAGGGATCTTGTCTGTCTTGTACCTAGTTGTATCATTAATGCTTCTCACAATTCCAAACACATAATAAATACTCCACTGTGTTTGTTGAATGAATAAATAAATATCTCTACTTCCTTATCTTTAAAATGAAGACTCTCAGCTAAATGAATGTTAAGCCCCTTCCAGCTTTGAGTCGGTTGCAAAAATTTCAATTCCAGGGCAATATGGTATTGCACAAATTCTAGCAGTATATAATAAATATACTTAGAGATAATAATACATGGGGCCAGCACTGTGGTTCACTTCATTAATCCTCCTCCTTTGGCACCAGCATTCCATTTGGGCACCGGGTTCTACTCCTGGTTGCTCCTCTTCCAGTCCAGCTCTCTGCTGTGGCCCGGGAGGGCAGTGGAGGATGGCCCGAGTGCTTGAGCCCCTGCACCCACATGGGAGACCAGGAGGAAGCACTTGGCTGCTGGCTCTTGGCATCGGATCGGCACAGTTCCAGCTGTAGTGGCCATTTAGGGAGTGAACCAGTGGAAGGAGGACCTTTCTCTTTGTCTCTCTCCCTGTCTATAGCTCTGTCAAATTAAAAAAAAAAAGATAATAATATAGTACCTTCATCTATTTCATTTAGTTTTCACAGAATGACACTTTTTCATTTTTCAGAATGATTTATTTATTTGAAAGGCAGAGTTACAGAGAGAGAGAAGAGAGAGAGATCTTCCACTTGCTGGTTCACTCCCCAAATGGCCATACTGGCCAGGGCCGGGCTAGGCTGAAGTTAAGAGCCTAGAATGCCATGCCGGTCTCCCACATAGGTAGGATGAGCCGCAGCACTTGAGCCATCGTCCGCTGCACATTATCAGGGAGCTGGATCAGAAGTGGAGCAGCTCATATGGGATGCGTGGCGTCACAGGCTGTAACTTAACCCACAGTGCCACATGCCAGCCCTGGCTCCTCTATTTCAGATATGGCCTTGTTGCAAAGCCTTTGGCTTAAGAAAGCAGTGCTTTATACAGTACTCAAGAAATTGATGTTTCTTCTTTTATCTATATTTGTTTTGTAGATTTTTAGAAATATGTGGAATTTTAACATAAATGTTTTATTTAACATATAAATACAATTTAAGCACATATATATTTAACTTACTTTATTTGACAATTATTTCTGCTGAGTCATGTAGTCGACAACACATAGTAACTGGATTTTTTTTCTGCCAATATGCATCTCATTTGGCTGTTAAAATTGTTTAGTGTTTTTGTCGTTTCTCCTTACCCACACCTGCACCTCTTCCAAGAAAAACATGATGCTAAGCATTAAGATGACAGGTTTCATAAGTATTTACCAAATTGGATTGGGAGAATGTCAAGTGGAATGATTGCCCTGCCTTGTAATACTGTACTCCCTTAAGCTGAATCACTTGATGTTAATAGGTTTTAGGCTCACTGAGGAGAAATTTTTATTTATATGAAAGCAGAGTGACAGAGAGAGAGAGAGGGAGAGAGAGGTCTTCCATACACTGTTTCATTTCCCAAATGTCTGCAACAATCAGGGCTGGCCCAGGCCAAAGCCCAGAGCCAGGAACTTGTGGAGGTCTTCCATGTGGGTGACAAGGCCCCCAGTTCCTGGGCCGTCATCTGCTGCCTCCCAGGGTGCACACTGGTAGGGAGTTGGATTGTGAGTGAAGATGAGACTGGATCTCAACCGCTGCATTATGGGATGTGGGCATTCCAAGCAACAGCTTAACCCACTGCAGCACAACACTGCCCCAGACATTTTTTTTTTTAAAGATGTAACTATTTTAAATAGTTTTGCCTGGTGGTGATGCTGTGTTTAAATTTGCTTTCTTAGCATCTCTTCGCCGGGTGTCATCTATCAAATTCCCCGGAGCATCTGGATCAAATATGATTTATTATCTGGTTGTTGGTGTCACAGTCAGTGCTGGCGGATATTATGTAAGTATTTAAATAACCATAATGTTTAGGGATTTATGTATATTTTTAAAGATTTAATTTATTTATTTGAAAGACAGAGCCACAGAGAGAGGGAGAGAGGGAGAGAGAGAGAGTCTTCCATCCTTTGGTTCATTCCCTAAATGGCCGCAATGGCCAGGGCTGGGCCAGACCAAAATCAAGAGCCAGGAGCTTCTTCCAGGTCTTCCACATGGGTGCAGGGGCCCAAGGACTTGGGCTATTCTCTGCTGCTTTCCTAAGTAGATTAGCAGGGAGCTGGATGGAAGTGGAGCATCAGGGACTTGAACCAGCGCCCATATGGGATGCTGGCACTGCAGGCCGGGGCTTTAACCTGCTGTGCCGCAGCGCTGGCCCTGGAATTCATATATTTTACAACCTATGGTAAGCTCAAAGCACTGTCAAGGTCAGGACATGGGATTCATCAAATATGCAGTGTAGCAATAGGGTTAAGTGTCATTAAGCATACATACCGTGCTGTCATTAGAACTCGGTTTTCGTTGGGGGCGGGGAAAGCCACAACAATACAAAAGTTGCACTTTGTAAATTCACATTTATTAAATAATAAAAAGAATTAAAAAAAATAAAAAAATAAAAAAGAACTTGGTTTTCATAAGTAAAATGAAGACTTTTCCAAGTATAAAATAAATGTTTCTTAATACTATTAATATAGATGATTTTCAATTAAAAATGTTCTTGTTATAAATGATAATAATAACCACTGACATTTTAGTGTTTAGCATATGCCAGACTCTTGGCTGATTTAATAGTTGTGATGGTTCTATAAGATTCTATAATTAACATTTAACAAGAACTGTTTTGGAAGATTTGCTAACCTTTACAAAAATAATGGACTTTCTTTCTTAGAGTGGTTTTAGGTTTGCAGAAAAATGAGCAGGAAGTACAGAAAGTTCCCATATGCTGCCTCCCGCCCCCCTGCGCCTTTCCCCGTTAGCATCTTTCCTAAGTGTGGTGCGTGTGGTACAATTAGTGAGCGCCTGTAGACCCACCACTATGAACAAAGCCTGTGGTTTACACTGGAGCTTCCTCTTCAAGTCCTCTATTCTGTGGGCTTCCACAGTTACATAAGGGCGTGTAGCTGTCATCGTAGTTTCATGCAGAATAGTTCCACTGCCTGAAACTACTCACCCCCTTACTCCTCCTCCTCCTCATCTTTTTACTGTTTCCAGAGGTTTGATTAGTTTTATATTTTTACATAGTTTTAAGGCTTTTTAAAAGTATTTATTTATTCAAAAGGGAGAGAGAGAGAGAGAGAGAGAGAAATGGACAGAGATCTTACAGCTGCTGATCCATTCCCCAAATGCCCACAGTGGCCAGGGGTGGACCAGAATGAAGCTGGGAACCGGGAACTCAAGGCAGGTCTCTGATGTGGGTGTTAGGGACCCAACTACCTGAGCCGTCACCTGTTGCCTCGCACAGTGTACAGCAGCAGGGAGCTGGAGCGACTCCAGCCAGTCATTCCAACATAGGATGGAGGTGCTCCAAGTGGCGTCTTAACTGCTCTGCCCAACACCCTCCTCAGATGTATTATTTTTAAGATATCATATTTTGAGTGGGCGTTTGGCCTGGTTCCTTAAAAAAATTCAAAATAAACAAAATGAAAAGTATGTTTTTCTCCTCAGTCTCCCTGTCTACTTTCTCCAGATGTCCCCTGTAACAGAAAACTTTTCATAGTGTGACGTCACAGCTAGAAAAGCACAACATTATGAGTTAAGTAAGATAAGCCTATTTGAATGACCCACCATTTTCTCATAAGCTTCCTAAAGCAAAATTTAATCTTTATTGTAAATGAGAACCGAGTAAGTATAAATTCTTGGGAAACTATGAGAGAACACAATTGCTATAGTTTGATTTGCTCCTACAGAAGTATGCATAAAGGGGTTTTAGTGCTAACCAAGTCTCACAGGACTAGGTAAAATGACAGTGTATTCTTTTTTTTTTTTTTTTTTTTTTTTTTGACAGGCAGAGTTAGACAGAGAAACAGAGAGAAAGGTCTTCCTTCCATAGGTTCACCCCCCAAGTGCGGCCAGTGCACTGCGCCGATCCTAAGCCAGGAGCCAGGTGCTTCCTCCTGGTCTCCCATGCGGGTGCAGGGCCCAAGTACTTGGGCCATCCTCCTCTGCATTCCCGGGCCACAGCAGAGAGCTGGACTGGAAGAGGAGCAACAGGGACAGAATCCGGCGCCCCAACTGGGACTAGAACCCTGGGTGCCGGCGCCACAAGCGGAGGATTAGCCTAGTGAGCCGTGGCGCCGGCCGGCAGTGTATTCTAAGGTTCAGAATTTGGGGAGCCTGAAGAAGTCAGAAAATTGAAGACCTTTCACTTACACTCTGTCCTCCACTAACTTAGAAACTTTCAGTCACACCCAGCTTCCTTTGCTTGTACCATCTTCCTACTGTTGAAGTTGCAGTGTACATTTGGCCTCGGATGGTCACATCCCATATCAACGTGCCTGGGTCTGCGTCCCATCTCCACTCCCAGTTCCAGCTTCCTGCGAATGCATACCCTGGGAGGCAACAGGTGATGACTTAAGTAGTTGGGTCCCTGTCCCCGGCTCCTAGCTTCAGCTCCAGCTGTTGTGGGAATTTGGGGAGTATACCAATGGATGGAGAGATCTCTCTCCCTCTCTCCTTCTTACTCTCCTCCTCTCTCCCTTTCTCTGTTTCTCTTTCTTTCAAATAAATTTAAAAATAAACAAAAGCTATTATATTCACTGCCCAGGGCCATGCTAGTTGGATATAGACTGCTGAAAGCACCACATGATAATCTTGAAGGAAAGACTGATTGGGTTTCATCTGGACAGCACCTTCACCTAATTACATTTAAGAGTGCCAGACACGAACCGTTTTCATTTGCTAATTCTTTCCTTGTAAAAGAGATCTAACACTGAGAGGTTTTAAACTGGCTATCGCTAAGAGTATGTTATCTCCTTGTCCTTTCATAGAGTAGAAACTGGCCAAGGTTGTGGTCGCTGTGTCCCCTTCCATCATAAAGATTATGTTGTTTTCATCTCAAATATTGGAAGCCTTAACTCCCAAGAATCTTAGTCTATTTTAAGGAGGAAATACAAAATTTAAGGCACTGCAGAATCTGTATTAAAGTCTCCCCCTCACGTCTGTGTCCTGTATGAAAATAAATTCTGTGTTAGGTTTATAGGAACTGACCTTCTGGGTGCTCAGTAGACAGGCTCAGTTTTTCATTTCTAAGTGAAATCTACAAAAAAAAAAAAAAAGGGCCAGCACCGCAGCTCACTAGGCTAATCCTTCGCCTTGCGGCGCCGGCACACCGGGTTCTAGTCCTGGTCGGGGCGCCGGATTCTGTCCCGGTTGCCCCTCTTCCAGGCCAGCTCTCTGCTATGGCCAGGGATGGCCACATCCTCTGCAGTGGAGGATGGCCCAAAGTCCTTGGGCCCCGCACCCCATGGGAGACCAGGAGGAAGCACCTGGCTCCTGCCATCGGATCAGCGCAGTGCGCCGGCCGCGGCGGCCATTGGAGAGTGAACCAACGGCAAAGGAAGACCTTTCTCTCTGTCTCTCTCTCTCTCTCACTGTCCACTCTGCCTGTCAAAACAAAAACAAAAACACTAAGTGAAATCTACTGTCAGGGCACCTTGAAATCTGAGAGCACCAGTCACTTCAGTTTTCTGGGGGTCTGGGTGTTTTTTTAGAAAGTACTATTAGACTTGCTTATTTAAATTGTGATATATTTAATAATAAAATAATAATATTTGCCAATAACTTCTAAAGTCTAAATTTGAGACCACATTTTTTTAAAGATTTTTAAATTTATTTATTTGAAAGGTAGAGTTACAGAGAGAAGGAGAGAGAAAGAGAGGGAGAGAGATATCTTCCATCTGCGGGTTCACTCCCCAAATGGTCACAAAGACCAGGGCTGGGCCAGGCCGGGAACCACTGTCCATATGGGATGTGGACAGCACTGCAGGCAATAGCTCAACCTGCTGCCCCACAGTGCTGGCCCCTTGAGATCTTTTCTTATGACAGGTTGGTTTTTAAAATTATTTATTTGTTTGTTTGTTTATTTATTATGTAAAAGGCAGAGTGACAGAGAGAGAATGAGAGGGAGAGGCAAAGAGAAAGCAAAAGCATGAGAGAGAGAGAGAATCTTCCAACTGCTGGTCACTCCCTAAATGGCCACAACAACCAGATCAGAGCCAGAGAGAAGGCAGGAAGCTGGAACTCCATCTGAGTCTCTCGCATTGGTAGCAGGAGCCCAAGTACTTGGGCCTTTTTCTTCTGCTTTCCCAGTTCTTTAGCAGGGAGCCGGCTGAGGAGGTGGAGCAGCAGGAACTCGAACGAGCACCCTAACAGGGAATGCCAGCATTGCAAGCAGAGGTTTAACTCGCTGCACCATGATGCTGACCTGATGATAGGCTTTTTATTCTACTCTGTATTTCATTAGGCTGCATTTGGGAAAGCTAGATCCCCCGGGGATCCATCAGTGTAAATTGTTCTAATATTGTCATCTCCTCAATTCTAACTAAAGTTAGCCTTTTTTCTCACCTTGTGATTTAGCCCCGCCTTGAGCAATAAGACCAATATCCCTTGGGGTGTGGCTGCTGGCAGGGCCATGTCAGGGCTGTGAACTTGCTGCCGGTTCAACTTTACGGTACTGAGAACTGACGATGCTGACTCAGCACACTGGCTGTCAGGAACTCCCACTGAACTAAGAAAAAAATTCCCTGCCTCTGTACAAAAAAGTTATCATTCCTGCTGGTCCTGTTTGCTCTGCAGGTTTCAAAGCCAGAGCATTCACACCTGCCTTCACCAAACTCTGGGGAATTTGTTATTAAAGAGTCACTTTTGTTTAGGGCCTTTGCTGTGGCTTAGCGGGTAAAGCCGCCGCCTGCAGTGCCAGCATCCCATATGGGCGCCAGTTTGAGTCCTGGCTGCTCCACTTCTGACCCAGCTCTCTGCTATGACCTGGGAAAGCAGTGGAGGATGGTCCAAGTCCTTGGGCCCCTGCACCTGCATGGGAGACCCAGAAGAAGCTCCTGGCCTCTGGCTTCGGATTGGTGCAGCTCCAGCCATTGCAGCCATCTGGGGCATGAACCAGCCAGTGGAAGCTCTCTCTCTCTCTCTCTCTCGCTGTCTCTCTCTCTGACTCTGCATAACTCTGCCTTTCAAATAAATAATTAACTCTTAAAAAAAAAGAGTTACTTGGCCGGTGCCGCGGCTCACTAGGCTAATCCTCCGCCTTGCGGCGCCGGCACACCGGGTTCTAGTCCTGGTCAGGGCGCCGGATTCTGTCCCGGTTGCCCCTCTTCCAGGCCAGCCCTCTGCTGTGGCCAGGGAGTGCAGTGGAGGATGGCCCAGGTGCTTGGGCCCTGCACCCCATGGGAGACCAGGAGAAGCACCTGGCTCCTGGCTCCTGCCATCGGATCAGCGCGGTGCGCCGGCCGCAGCGTGCCGGCCGCGGCGGCCATTGGAGGGTGAACCAACGGCAAAGGAAGACCTTTCTCTCTGTCTCTCTCTCTCTCACTGTCCACTCTGCCTGTCAAAAAAAAAAAAAAAAAAAAGAGTTACTTTTGTATCACTTCTACCCTTAAGGTTACAGATTTTCAGTTTTGACAGTCTAATTTTTCTACTATAAAATGGTTTCTAAATTATATAGCACAATTTTTAATAAAGCCCTTGGCTTCTCATTATTAAGGATTTAGAAAATACTGAATGTACATATACAAAATTTTAAAATCTATTATCTTACCAGGGAGAGTTAAACCATTATTAACATTTTTTAAAAATTGAGATAATAGGCCAGTGCCGTGGCTCAATAGGCTAATCCTCCTCCTGTGGCGCCAGCACCCCGGGTTCTAGTCCCAGTCAGGGTGCCGGATTCTGTCCTGGTTGCTCCTCTTCCAGTCCAGCTCTCTGCTGTGGCCCGGGAGTGCAGAGGAGGATGGCCCAAGTGCTTGGGCCCTGCACCCACATGGGAGACCAGGAGGAGGCACCTGGCTCCTGATTTCGGATCAGCGCGGTGCGCTGGCCGCAGCGGCCTTTGGAGGGTGAACCAACGGTAAAGGAAGATCTTTCTCTCTGTCTCTCTCTCTCACTGTCCACTCTGCCTGTCAAAAAAAAAAAAAAAAAAAAACAAACAAACAAACAAAAAAAACACCTGAGATAATAAAAACAACATTATCTGAATACTAAGGTTTTCATTTTTCAAATGCTTTTGTGAGACCAAAAGGCTCCCTAAATGTGAGACGAAAGGGAACCTGCGCATGCTGTCTGTGATTAAGACAGCTTTCTTCTCAATAGCATTTCTCAAGTAACTATAGTCAGGTTGTTGCTTTTAACGACTAACCCTTGCTTACTTAAGGAATCTTTAGTAGGATCTGGCCAAATGTCATTCTGTCATTTTTTAAAACTTTTTCTCATCAGATAATTTGACATTCACATGCAGTTACAAGAAATAAAACAGCGAGATCTCCTATGCTATTCATCTTATTTTCCCTAATGATGATAATCTTTCATAATTATATTACTATATCACAACCCGGAAATGGACATTGATACCACCACTGATCCTATTCTGGTTTCACAGGTTTTACACGCATGTATTTGTGTGTGTGTGTATGTGTGTGTGGGTGCACGCGTATGTGTGCTTAATCCTATGCAGTTATACCACATGTAGTCATATATTTACCATCACTGTGCAGACAGGTTCCATCACCACAAGGATTCCTGGGTTGTCCTTTTACAATTGCACTCCCTTCTCTCCCGGTCCCTCTTCCCTTCCTCCTAAACTCTGGCAACACTGATCTCCTCCACATTTCTATACTTCTGCCATTTCAAGAACATTACATAAATGGAATTATAAGGTTTGCAATGTTTTAAGATTGCCTTTTCTTTTTTCGTTTCACTCAGAATAATTACCTGAAGCTTCATCCAAACTGTCGCATGTCCTTGTCTCTAATGTTCATTCCTTTTGATTGCTGAGCAGTGTTCCCTGCTTTGTTCAGACCACGGTTGGTCTAACCGTTCATTCACTGTGGGTCATCTGAGTTGACTGCAGTTATCTTTGACTTCTATTTCTTTTCTTTTTAAAGTATTTTACTTCATGATGAAGGCTTCCAAGGCGGGAGTAAAGGAGAAAATGGTGTGCATTGATTTCCGTTCTTTGCTATCTTGGGATTATGGTTCAAACTTCTACTGATGATAATACGGAGAGTATATACCTGTGTACTTGGCTTGATGAATCTTGGAGCTCAGAAATAAATGTAAGCACATTTTTACTTTCAGACTTACAAGTCAGTCACATCAGAGCAAGCCAAACACACGGAACATATAACAAACTTGGAAGAAAAAACAAAAGTAGAGTTACACCCACTTCAAGGTAAAGTGAATTTCCCAGTTACTTATTTGTTTTGAGGTACTAATTCCCATCATCCTAATCTAAGCAGTGAATGCTATGTGTTTTCTGTTTCTTTGCTAACTTAATCCAGAATGGCTCCAGTTAGGAGTTCATTCAGAAAAGAAAAACCCAGCCAAGACCTAAAGAATATCGCTGCATACTTTGGTTGAGTGCATTTGACAAATGAACACATTTTACATTTGTACTGCTGACCAGCGGCTTTGGCTTCTTTGTGTGATAATATTTTCCCCCTACTCAGGTGTTCATTCACGCAGGCGTAATTTTCGTATCTGTCTCTCTCAGCAGCTTGAACTTTCATTGCCCTCGTTATGTTTTTTGAATCACAAAATGAATCTGTTTCAGTTTGGGCTCAGACCACCCATGTGTCTGCCCAGAGTACACTTCACTATCATAGAATTGGTCATGGTTATGGAGGCCCTCGGTTGATAAAATGGCAAGCATGCATACAGAACCTTTACATTTTCACTCTAGCGTGTTCTATTTGCCTTAAACTACTCTTTGGTTTTAAATCTCTTGATCGTGCACATTATTTTAATTATGTGCACACAATGATTAAATATTAAATCACACTAGCCCTGCAAGGAAGGTGTAATCAACATTCCCATTTTATAGATGACAAACTGAGGCTGAAAGAGCATCTTTGATCCCTCAGCCATCAACTAGTAACTTGGCTACTGTTCAATGCTATGTCACATGAATAAGTAATATATGCCATTTAAAAAGAAGATTTTATTTATTTGAGAGGTAGAATTACAGACAGAGAGGGAGAGATAGAAAGGTCTTCCATCCACTGGTTCATTCTCCAAATGGCTGCAATGAGGCCGGCGCCGCGGCTCACTAGGCTAATCCTCCGCCTAGCGGCGCCGGCACACCAGGTTCTAGTCCCGGTTGGGACACCGGATTCTGTCCCGGTTGCCCCTCTTCCAGGCCAGCTCTCTGCTGTGGCCAGGGAGTGCAGTGGAGGATGTACCAGGTGCTTGGGCCCTGCACCCCATGGGAGACCAGGAAAAGCACCTGGCTCCTGACTCCTGCCATCGGATCAGCGCGGTGTGCCGGCCGCAGCGCGCCAGCCGCGGCGGCCATTGGAGGGTGAACCAACGGCAAAGGAAGACCTTTCTCTCTCTGTCTCTCTCTCTCACTGTCCACTCTGCCTGTCAAAAAAAAATTAAAAAAAAAAAAAATGGCTGCAATGGCTGGAGCTGAGCCTATCCAAAGCCAGGAGCCGGGAGCTTCTTCCAGGTCTCCCACATGGATGCAAGGGCCCAAGCACTTAGGCCATTTTCCGCTGCTTTCCCAGACCATAGCAGAGAGCTGGATTGGAAGAGGAGCAGCTGGGACTCAAACTGGTGCCTATATGGCATGCCAGTTCCGCAGGCAGAGGCTTAGCCCACGAGGCCACAGCACTGGCCCTATATGCAATTTTTTAAGTTCAAAAGAGTTTACAGAAAGCAGATCCTTTGTTTTCCCTCCTGAGAAGCAACCAATAATACCAGTTCTTTGCAACCTCCTGGAGACAGTCTCTGCAAAGGTAACTGGGCATTTTACTAACCGCCCTCCCCCTACTTTGTCCTAACACAGATGGAGGCCTCCCGTGTGCATAGTTCTTTCCTCGCTTTTTCACTTTGCAGCCTCCTTTGAAGACCTTTATATAGCAATACATACAGATGTGTCTCACTTTTTAAATTGACTGCACGATGTTCCAACTGTATTGCCATGCTCTTTAAATTAATGCTCTGCTTAATGGACTGAATCTTAAAGGTGAACAAGAGAATGTTGTGGAAGCTGAGGAAGAAAGTCCAGAAGCCCCTGAGGAACCCGTCGTGGAAGCTGAGGTAGTAGGGGCTACAACTGCTGTCCCAGAAGAGGCCACAGTCTGCCCAGATGATACGGAGCCTGCTTCGGTGGAAACAACCACAGTCGAGGCTGAAGCTGGACCAGAGGCTACAGACACGGCAGCGGGTGACACCATGACAGGTGACACTGCGGCAGGTGAAACCGCAGAAGCCAGCTCTGAAACCACCCCAGAGGTTACAGATGCAGCCGCAGATGAAGCTGTTGCCATTGATAAAGGCACAACAGAGGAGAGCTCTGATGAATGTGCCAAACCAGAAGGAGAAAATCCTCCAGCTGAGCCAGATCTCTCTGCTGGGGCTGATTTACAGGGGGAAGCCAGTGTGGGTTCTGAGGCTGCCTCCCCGCAAGGCTAGTCTCCTGCTGAGATACTTCACAAAAATGCTATAGAGTGTCTGATAGCGGCTCTTATACTTTTAATAATCTTAGTTGTAAAAAGACTTCTTTTCAAGGAAACTTTAACGTGCCTTGAAGATTGTTGGTAGGTATTGATAGATTTTAGGACTGAGAGATTTGAGGTTTTCTATGTTTTCAAAGTTTTCTACTCTCTGAGATCAGAGTGTGACATTGCAGTGAAGAGCACAAATAATCTCATCTTTGATTTAAGTTGTGTATCGTAGGAACTGAGCTATCTGTTCAATCTGTACTCACTATAATTTTTGCTATACTTCTACCTTATTGTACTGTTTGCAGATGTTGAGTTTGATCTGAACTCATTTAAATAAAATTAGAAAATCTTTAATGCTTGTACTTTTATTCACATATATATGCTCATAAATAATACATATTAATGCATGAACATAGTACATGAAGACATTAAGGCTGTGTAATATTGTTGCGGAGTCTGCAGTTATTACAGTTCTTTTTCTCTGCTGAGTTCGTGTCTCACCTCCATGAAGAATGAGGAGCATGGACAAGAAAGAGTGGGTAAAGCAGAAGTAGTTTATTGAAAGGAAGCAGAGAAAGCAAAAGGAAAAGCTCTCGGAAGCAACAAGAGAAGCCCCTAAAGAAGGGAGCTGTTGAGGGCTGATGAGGGGGTTTTATAGGCTGGAAAACGGGACATTCTTGTGATTCATCCAGGGAAGGGGTGGTTTTGATTGGTTAATTGGGTGAACGTCCCAGTGGAGAGGTAAGAGCAACAACAGAAAACACATGAAACGTTCCCCTAAGACATACAATTCTCGTTACCCAGATCAGTTACAACAGCACAGAGAAACCTTGATGACAAGGACTAGCGTGTGACATCAGCATGCTTCACAGAAGCTGCTGCTACACTCTTCTCAGGCCCTCCACGACTCAGCTCCAGATGGAGGGGGAGGGGCCCTCATACCTGCCTACCTAGCCAGGAGTCCATCTCTCTATCAATATCACTGAAGAGAGGCCACATAATCTACGGAGAACTCTGTGTGTAACAATACATACGTCTATCCCCATCTATATTACATAAGGGGCTATGCAGATATTTTCTGGTTCAGTTCAGTTCAAATGATATTGAGGATGTATGCTTTGTGTCATGAATCATTCATTCATACGTTCAGCAAAAAGTAACTGAGACCTCAAGTTCTCCCCAGCTAATATTCTAGAGTGGTACCTGATAATGAACAAAATAAATAATAAAACTGTATGTGTGTTAGAGACTGAGTGTTCAGAATAAAAGCAATGAAAATAAAGGGAATGTGAGTGTTGGTTGGACCTGGAAGTTGTAATTTTAGATAGGGCAGAAAATTAGCAGATAAGACACCATGCACTGTATCAAAGTACCTGCTTTCTTTAAAAAAAAAAAAGATTTATTTTATTTATTTATTTGAAAGACAGAGTTACAGAGAGAGGTAGAGACATAGAGGTCTTCAATCCACTGGTTCACTCCCAGATAGCTGCACTGATCTGAAGCCAGGAGCCAGGAGCTTCTTCCGGTTCTCTCACATGGGTGCAGGGGCCCAAGGACTTGGGCCATCTTCTACTGCTCTCCCAGGCCATAGCAGAGAGCTGAACAGAAGAACAGCCGGGACTAGAAATGGCGCCCATATGGGATGCCGGCGCTTCAGGCCAGGGCTTTAACCCGCAGCATCACAGTGCCAGCCCCCAAAGTACCTGCTTTCAATTCCATCTTCTGCTAATGCAGACCCTGGGAGGCAGCCACAATTATTCAAATGATTGGGTTCCTGCCACCCATGTGGGAGACCTGGGTTGAATTCCCAGCTCCTCATTTTGACACCCAGCCCAACCTAAGCCATTGTGGGCACTTGGGCAAAGAGTCAGTAGATGGGAACTCTCCCTTTGTCTCTCTCTCTCTCTTTCTTCTCAAATAAATAAATTTTAAAGGATACTTAAAGGGGGCAGGCATTTTGGCATAGCAGGTTAAGCCACTGCCTATGATACCACCATCCCATATCAAAGCTCTTGTTCAAGTCCCAGCTGTTCCACTTCTGATCTAGCTCTCTAATAATGCACCTGGGAAAGGAGTGGAAGCTGGCATAAATACTTGGGCCCCTGCCATGCAAGTGGTAGACCTGGATCGCATTTCTGATCTTTTTTTTTTTTTTTTTTTTTGACAGAGATTCAGACAGAGAGAGAGAGAGAGAGAGAAAGAGAAAGGTCTTCCTATCCGTTGGTTCACCCCACAAATGGCCGCAACGGCCGGCGCACTGTGCTGATCTGAAGCCAGGAGCCAGGTGCTTCCTCCTGGTCTCCCATGTGGGTGCAGGGCCCAGTGACTTGGGCCATCCTCTACTGCCTTCCTGGGCCACAGCAGAGAGCTGGCCTGGAAGAGGAGCAACTGGGACAGAATCCGGCGCCCCAACTGGGACTAGAACCTGGGGTGCCAGCGCGGCATGAGGAGGATTAGCCTAGTGAGCCGTAGCACCGGCCGCATTCCTGATCCTGGCTCTGACCTGGCCCAGCCCTGGCTATTGCAGCCACTTGGGGAGTGAATCAGCAGATGGAATCAGTGAACACCAGCACATCTCTGTCTCTCTCTCTCTCTCTCTCTGTCACTCTGCCTTTCAAATACTTAAAAATGACTTAAAAATTTAAAAGGCAGCTAAAATGTATGTAGGGGGCTTTATCATGAGGACATTGGAGGAGAAGATCACTTCACCTGAGGGAAAAGATAAATGCAACATGGCCAGCATAGTGGCTCACTTGGCTAATCCTCGCCTGCGGCACCAACACACCGGGTTCTAGTCCCGGTTGGGGCGCCAGATTCTGTCCTGGTTGCCCCTCTTCCTGTCTAGCTCTCTGCTGTGGCCAGGGAGTGCAGTGGAGGATGGCCCAAGTCACTGGGCCCTGCACCCACATGGGAGACCAGGAGAAGCACCTGGCTCCTGGCTTCAGATCGGTGCAGCGTGCCGGCCGTAGCGGCCTTTTGGGGGGGTGAACCAACAGAAGGAAGATCTTTCTCTCTGTCTCTCTCTCTCTCTCTCACTAACTCTGCCTGTCAAAGAGAGAGAGAGAGAGAGATAAATGCAACAGGCCAGACAGTGGAACATGCTGGAGAATTTGAGGACTTGCAAGGCGGCCAGTGTAGCAAACTTGGAGAAGAGGGAGATGATCTCCGAGACAGAGCAGTTAGGCAGGGATGGGCTAGATCATGTAGAGATGAGCTAGATCAAGTAAGACTTTGGCTACCACTTGGAGTAAGTTGGGAAATTGTAGTGGACACTGGTGATGCTCAGCCTAGCTCCCCTTCATTGCATACATCTATTCTCAGCTGTTATTGAGTGTTACACACACACATTCCATGCCTCCCCTCACCTCAGACAGCCCTGCACCAATGATTGACTGCTATGGCGGTCCAAAGTGAGGCCAGGTCTGCAGCATAACTCATGCTCTGGGACTTCCCAGCAGTCAGGCTGAAGCTGGTCTCCAGCTGAGATTACATCCTTGCTTGGCCTTGTCCCTTCCTCCTTCCTGCTTTTCTCTCTCCTGTTCTCCTGAGAAAACTCCTCCAATAGATCACTTTCCCCGGACTCTCTTTTTCTAGGGAACTTCATCCAAGATTGTTCATCCTGAACATGGTCTTAAGGAAGCAGCTGTCTGATTAGGATTCTGGAGTTCCTCCATCCTTCAGCTATACAGCAACAATGGCTCCATCCCTGGTAGCAAGTGCACGACTGCTAGCCCCTGGCATTCTGCTGCAACGTGATTGTTAAGGTTTCCACCCATGGCCAGCTGGAGCAGGGTATAGGCAGAAGGTGATAGCTTTAGCCTCTGGAATTTGAGAGGCAGAGAAACAGTGTAAGGAGTTAATCATGACTGTAAAGATGATAATTTGTGTTTGTTTTGAATTTGTCCTCATGTCAACTCTGCACTAGACTCAATGGTGTAAGATCTATGTCAGCATTAAATGGATGCAGTTCTGTTAAAGGCTCTTTAGGACACAGCAGATACATTACCTGCTGCTAGTCATGCAGACCACACACACACACACACACACACATATGCATGCTTTACTGTTATGGTCAGGGTAGTTTCTACTGCAAATAACAGATACCAACTCAAAATGGATTTCACAATAGAGCTAGTTATTATATAAGGATCTCTAAGGTCATTTTATGCCTCGGCTCAGTTGTCAAAAACCAGGTTGTTTCCACCGTCCTGCTCTATTGTCAACAATGTTTGGCTTTATCCTTGGCAGGCTTTCCTCATAGTCACGGGGTGAATCATCATTCTAGGTATTTTACTCAGTCACAGTAGAAGTCTTTCAAAAAGGAGAGTTTTCTTGTATTAAAAAATAAAAAAACCTTTCAGACTCATTTTTCTAATGGCTCATTTGTGAAAATGTCAAGCAAACATAGACAGAATCTTATGATGAAACTTCCTGAGCTCTGCTCCCAGATCTACCAGTTATGAACTCATGGCAAATCTTGCATTCATACTCCCACCCATTACCACCACACCTATAGCTAGCACTAACCCTAGATTTGTGAACGAGGTTCTAAAATCAAATCTATGAGACAAAATGTACATATGTAAAGTAATAATAATAATAACTCTTTATGATTACTAAAGATTTCCCCCACCTTGAGTTTGTTTTCCAAATCAAAATCCAGTTAAAAGCCAGAGCCATGGCTCACTAGGCTAATCCTCCGCCTTGCGGCCCCGGCACACCAGGTTCTAGTCCCGGTCGGGGCACCGGATTCTGTCCCGGTTGCCCCTCTTCCAGGCCAGCTCTCTGCTGTGGTCAGGGAGTGCAGTGGAGGATGACCCAAAGTCCTTGGGCCCTGCACCCCATGGGAGACCAGGAGAAGTACCTGGCTCCTGCCATCGGATCAGCGCGGTGCGCCGGCCGCAGCACGCCGGCCGCGGCGGCCATTATAAGGTGAACCAACGGCAAAGGAACACCTTTCTCTCTGTCTCTCTCTCTCACTGTCCACTCTGCCTGTCAAAAAAAAAAAAAAATCCAGTTAAAGTTTACAGACTATAATTGCCTGATATGTCTTTGTGTTCCTTTTACCACTGGTTGCTCCTCCATCTCCCTGCTATTTTTTCCAATTTATGGTTTTTAATTAATCATATCTCTTGATCTGGGGGATTTTTCACAGTCTGGGTTTTAATTTTTGCAACCACATGTATTTTTTTGTTTCTTCCATCTCCCTTCTATTTTTTCAATTTATTGGTTTTAATAATCATATCTCTTGATCTGTAGAATTTTTTACAGTCTACACATGAAATTTCTTTGTTTTCATTTGACATGTTTCTTTCCCTTATACTGCCTAAAGTTCGCTATTTAGAGCTAGTGGT